GTGTGGGGATCAGTGGAAACCCCATGGAATTGAACCAAACAGGTTTGGGGTTGATCTCTGGGGACCTCACCCGTGCAATACAGGGCTAGAGATGTGCCCTGCCAAGCGTGGGTTTAGTGTTGGGATTTGCAGGCTTTGCTGGTGATACTGGGACCAGCCAGGTCTGCACAGGCTGCAAGCCCAGTCAGGTGTGCAAGTCTTGAGCTGAGTGGCAGGTGAAGGGCTGCTCCTGTCCCACTTGCACTGCAAAACCACACCATGAGATGAAACTGCAGGGACAGGCAGCCTGGGCTGGGCATTACTGGGGACAGGAGGACACCAGTAGCAGGACTTCTGGTAGTTCACAAAGAGGCAGGACCTGAGATCCTCAGACACAGAGCAAGGGTATCAATTGAATAAAATAATGGAGAAAAAAAGAAAATCCCACCTTCTGCAGGGCTCCTGGGAGGGCACTTCTGGCAGGTGGCAGTAGTTGGCTGCAGTGAAGACAGCAGCACAACCTCAGTGGTGGGAGGCTTCAGATTTGAGAGGCTTCTGTGTGTGCTGCCACAACCATGGCTATGGAGACCAGTGGATTTTATACCTGGTGCATTGATTGAATTGTTCCTGCTGGCCACTTCTCTGCTGTTTGCTCTTCCCAGAGCTAACCCGGGAGGTCCTGGTCTTCCATGTGTCACTGGCCTGGCATGAGAGAGCTCCATCCAGAGCAGGACATGCCTGGCATCCTGTGCTGTAGGGATTTCATCTCTTGTGCAGGTTCCAGCTAGTGCCCTCTCCTGTTCCTGTGAAAGGCTTTGCACATGTGTTCTGCTTCCCTCTAAAACACTGAGACACCCAGAGGTGCACGACCCGCCTGAGCAGTGCCTGCCCCAGCCCCAGGTGCTCCCCAGTCCTCCTTGTGTGCTCATGCTGTCCCTGTGCCAGGAGATGGCTCTGCCCTGGCACACAAATTCACCTGCAATTTGTCATTTAGTATAATTTTCCCCTTGAGTGCATCTAAAATAATTGTGACTCATTGCTACAGGTAATTAATGGTTTTTTTACAGCATTAAATGCTAAGTGATTACAATTGCTCCGTGCAAATCTGCTGCACTTCGTGTTCCCATCCTTCCTGCTGCCTGTGTCTCCGTACATGAGGTAGCACTGATTGCTCTGCCCTTAATTAAATATTGGTGGAAGGGAACCACTCCAGTTCCTCTGGAATCACAAGTCCCTGGTAGCTGGTTGCTGCATGGTTAGAGATGGTGGTGGTTTGCAGGTCCAAGGGAGATTCACACAAGTTGAGGGCAGCAGTTCCTGACCTGCATCTGCCCAGAACCAACTGGGGATGTCCCATTGCTCAGCTCCCACCTGTGCTCATTCTGTGTCTTCATCCTTTCCCACATGGAAAAACTGGGAAATTTTCTTTCTTACACATTTATTTTATTCACAGAGTTTTTTGTTTTGTTTTGTTTTGTTTTCCACCAGCTGGCTACCTCCCGAATTTGTCACCACCTGAGAACAGGGTGTATCAGCACTCATCTCAGGCTTATACCCAAAACCAAGGGGCTGCAAACCTCTCCCCAGATCTGCATCCCCTGTGTTCTCTCCTCTTCTGATGCCCTTGAGGTGAAAGGTACCAAGAAAGCACTTGGGGAACAAAGCCACCCCCAAGCTGCTGCAATTTCACAACTGCCTTCCCTTGCATCCCGAAGTTCAGGTATTTCTGCTCCTTGCTCTGATGCCCTTTGGGGAGTGGAGGAGCAGGAGTTCAGGAGCAAACTCTGGAACTGCTGGCCTTTGCTGCAGCAGGATGTGACACCAACCTGTGACAGCAATACCACCTCTGGCACTTGCAGCACTGGTGGTATCACTCCTCTGCTGTTAAAGGAGCACTTGGTGCAAAAGTGCCACAGAAACTGGTGACAGAGTCTGAAGAAGGACCAGCAAGAGGTCCCCACAGCAGGGACGTGTGTGGCTGGAGCACTGCCTTCAGCTGCCATTGCTAAAGTAGCTCAGTTATAAAAAGGCTCCTGTATTACTGTGCAGTGTGTGATGGGTGGAATATGCTGGTCCAGAGAGGCATGGAAAGGAGTGTTATTAAAAAGAAAATGAATCAGCAAGAAACAAAACAAACAGCATGGAGGGACCCAGCCTCCCTGGGGAGGTGGATCACAAACAAAACCCTTCTAGATGCTTGGAAGCAAAAATTGAGGCTGTATGCAGATCTGGACACTGGATGTAAAGACAGGAAAATGAAAATATTACTACCTCAGTGGGAAAAGTAGAGATGAGTCAGAGCCAGGAATAATCCTTGAATCATTGTAACTGGTCCTAAAAGTACTTCGTGAGTACTGGGACCCAGACAGAGCCTGCTTTTCCTTATTTGGAATCTAAATCCGCAAGAGAGGGCAGATCCTTCCGCCCCCAGATACCTGACATGCCACATGTCACTCTTGAACGAATCGATTTTCCTAACGAGAGACGAGCTGTTTGTTTGTGTGACAAATGATCCACCCGAGGGGCTGCTGGGAAAGGGGGGG